AATGGCGGAGGCGGAAGATGGGCGGCGGGGCTGTTGCCTGACTGAAGTGAGTTTCTAATTATCGCCGGCTGCTGTTAAGATTCAAATTACGTGATATCCATTAAAAAATACTCTCCGTACTTTTGCTTTCGTTAGAGCTCCAAATGTTTGACTGGGTTTCAGTTGTTGTTGTTGGGGTAGGGTTCGGCTACTTGGCGCTCAGCCAAAGCTGCCTCTCTTATTTATTTCGCAAATGCATTTTAATGTCACTTTACTGCAAATTGTCAGCGCAGCACATTCATCATGAGGACAGCCAACCCGCCCCTGCACATTTCTGTGCTATTGTTTAAGTAGCTGCCGTAAATGGCAGAATATGCTGTTGAGAATGGGTTTTCAAAGAAATTCAGGCAGCAGCTGACTTATTGACAATGGCAAGGACATCAAATTTGGCTTAAGGACCAGCCTGGGCTGGTTTTCAAGGACGCTTTTAGGTGCTAAAGACTTGACTAAGCAGAAAGTATATGAATTTCAGTAGGTTTAAAACTAAAACAGTATTATTCTAAACAAGCATTAAAAACAACTCAAACTTATTGAATAATTTTGTAACAAAAATAAACAAATATCTGTCCGATAAAGTAATCACATTTTCTAGCTAGACTTAGAGGCGGAGTTCAAGCTGAGAGACATGTCTGAAAGCCATAACGTTTTTAGCTCTATAAACATTTTAGCTGATTTGTGACTCGTCTGCCACAATAAAAAACCTCTATTGTCGGCTGGCTAATAAATGTCTTGGCTGTCTGGCTCTGTCTCTGGGCCACACCTCCAAGAATCGAATGCACTTGAACTGTGCCGCTTCGAGGTTTTTTGACTTGCAGCAGTCCTAAGCGAGCCACGAAAACTTGTAGAAATTGTCGCCATAATGCGGTATATAAATATTTATTGTACGTGTTTGGCTGACGTTTCCCCTTATGGCCTTGAGTTTATGAGCCCGAACTGGACTGTTTGTTATTGCCTTTTGTCTCTGGTCTTAAACTTAAACTAATAAATGCGTCGCAGTTCCATAAAATGCAAACAGAGCGGGCACAACTTTCAAAAGAACTTCTCGAGAAATGCAAGCAAAACAAAAAAAAGAGAATATTGATCAAAATTCATTTGATACGGCCAACATAGCTACCCGATAGCGGACGAGTCTATAAAAATATTAATACTCTGGCCACATGACAACCGGCCAAATGAAAATCACGTTCACACTAGTCACGTTTACGGCCGTGGCAATAACAAAAAAACGCATCAAAAATATAAGTGCAACACAATACTTGACTTATGTCTGCGACCTGCTGCGCTATGAATACCCTGTAAGATATATGGGTTGCAGGGTCGTGTAACGATTGCAAGCTTTAACCAAGCATTGGTCTATTTTCTGAGTGACCAGCTTAAACGAATGTTAAATTCTTCAGAATTTGGTAACATTCTTCTTATATGGTTTTTGGGTTTGGCTACCTGTGGGTCAGGGTCTAGCTGAGCTCAAATAAATCCAAGAACTATGTCTTGATTCTCTTAGCTCATCAAACTTGTAAGTTCTTAAAAGCTTATACAACAATCAACACAATATTAGTATGGATTAAAGCTAAAAATCGCTCAACAACAGCTCAGGCTAAATAACCTTCAAGTATACTGTCATAGTTATTGTAGCTTTTCATGTTTACAGGGTATACCCTAGCTGACTCTCTTAATTGCGTTCCTATGCCTATTTTTATAGCGACAGAGAGGCGCTGAAGGGGGTCAGCTTAAATGGCAGAACACGTGTTAGGCAACAGCGCCAGCAACGTCATAAATCTCCGCACACCTTCTGTGTCTTGTCCACCCACAGGCCAGGCACAACCCGTTGCCAGTCCGAAGCACAGCAGCTGCGTCCGCCTACGTTTGGCCCCATCGGCGGTTCGTTGCGTAGCGTTGAGTATCTTAATGCCCCAACCTCAACGCCAACCCCAACCCCAACCCTAGTGCCAGTCCCTATAACCGTTTCCCATTTCCAGGCCTTTGCCGCAGTCACCTTTATTGGCCACTCGAACGTCAGCATTTAAAAAAAAACGTGATTTCCGCTATTTGCCTGCTGTAATTGTTTACACATACAGCAGGCGACAGAGAGAGAGAGAGAGAGAGGGACGGACGTGGGTTCGGTTAAGTCCCGCCAACTGTTTAGTGTTCAGTTTGGCTTCTGGCTAAAATAGACGCCAGCTGCCGCCACTCAAAAGTGCACAAAAATGCTTACACTGACGCCCCGACGTCAAATGTCATCCATACTTGCACCCAAAACATGACAGCGGTACGGCCAATGCGTCCACATGCCCCAAGACTTAGACTTAAAAGAAGAAAAAGAAGGAGAGGCAGCAGCACAAGACATAAATGCAGACACACGAGTACGAAAAGTAAGTATTGCTGACAGTTGCATTAACTGCGAAAATTCTGACACCTGAATGCAGCTGTTTTGAAAGGCTTTCAAAAGATTGCAGCTGTAGGTGAAAAACTTTGGAAAAGTGCACGAACTGATAGACCTCAAAGGGCTGGGGGGCACATATGTTGTTCCTGATATGCGTAAAAGAGCTCCACACTCAGTTGAATGTCAGTTAGCCCCGTTTCTATTTGCAAAAAATGATAACTGAGAGATAGAAACGAATGCAAGTATTCAAGTTTAATGATGAAAGGAAAACTGAAGAATTTTACATTCGTTTTGTGTATGTATTATTTTGTATATGCTTATACAAGCTGTTTATGCTGATTGACTGACTGACTGACAGCACACAGGTCAAACGTTAAATAAAGCAAGCTAAAATTTACACAGTGAATTTGTGACGTGGATTTTGGAAAATTTTAAGCACAAGATTTAAGAAGCACAGATTAAAGAAGTTTAACATTCCCAACTGTGTATTAAACATATATTTTGACACCATTTAAATAACTTAGCAGAAGTACTTAAATACTGTGCGCATAGCCTGAGCGAATAATATTCATACATTATTTTGGGAATTCTTACAATTTGAGGACAGTTTAGCTGTCTGTTTCGGCCGAAAATTACCTTTGCAGCAATTTGGCTTTGCCAATTTTCTTTTGTGCCACTGTGCTTAACGAACCGTGGCTGGCACTAGGATTGCGAATGGGTCTGGAACAGGGCCTGGGTCTGGGTCTTGGTACTTGGAGCATGGCACATGCCATAAGGCTTCCTCCCTGTTTGGCGGGCAACATTGTCAGTTATTGATTTCTGAGCCAGCAACAATGGCAGCAATTTCATAGAACTTGTAGATACTCTTTAACTATTGACGTTGTTGCTGTTATCAAAGTCATCAAATGCCATCAAATGTATAAAAGCAGAAATCAGCGTACTCAACTTGACTATTTTTTTTTCAGAGTGAAAACTGTTAATGGCTTTGGCATTTTCCAGAGCATTTTCCAACAACAAACGTCAGATAATAGAGACAAGTGACCTCAATATGTTTATGAACCGAAACTAAAACGAAGTCTCCGGCTCTGTCTTTGTCTCTCTCACTCTATCTCAGTTTCAGTTTCTGTTGCCATATGCAGTTTGGGTTAAGGTTACCGACCCACAGAGCCCCCAGCCACAGTCACAGCCTCAGCTTCAGCTTTGGTGTGGCCTGGCCTGGCCAACTGGCCGCATTGAGATACAATTGTATCTGTATCTTGTGCAAATTGTAAATACTGTTGCTGTTGCTGCCGCTGCCGCTGCTGCTGCTGATGTGGGGCAAACAATGATGCTGGCAACGATGATGCTTCTCTCTGTCTCTCCTCATTTATCTCTATCTCTCTCTCTCTCTCTCTAGGCCATCTCTTTCTCTCTATCTTCTATTATGTTTATTGCATTTTGATGATTTGTATTGTTGTGTATTTTGTGTGTTGAAATTGTGGCTGTTGTTGCTGTGAATTGCGTAATGCCAACCTGGTTAGAGCAGCGCTTAGCTGTAATTGTAGTTATAATTAAGTCATAATTGCAGCCAAAAAACCCATGCAAAATGTTTTTAATTTCGGTTAGATAATGCATAGAATACAATTGGGAAGTCTTAATTGGAGTAGGGTGTTTCATTGTTAGAATACAATAAAAAAAAAACTCAATAAAATGCTCCTTTAGCTGTACGTATTGTCAAGTTAAGCTTGGCTTGAATTCAGTGTATTTAAAGTTTATTTTCCTTTTGTGGACATTACGCCCCAACCATATCAATTATTTGTACCTATGTCATGTACTTTTTTGAGTATTTGCTTATAATTTATTATTTACTTGCTGTGGCCATTACCTGGCGTCTCTCATGAATATCCAAGCCCCACCCAACCACTCGGCCACCCACATGTCACACGCAAGAGACAACACACGTGGATGGCCACGCGCTTAGCTGGGTGCCCCCCTCCGCTGACAAATACGCCGTATGTCAAACAGCAAAGCTGTAAACACCCCCCGCCAAAACCCCGAACGGAAGCAAAGTCTTATATTTTTTTGTAGCCGTCATATGCCAAGTTTGGCCGCAGGCCTTAAAAATTGTAGGTTAAGTCTTTGGTTAAGTCTTAAACTTTATAACCACTAAATGTTTTTTCATAAAAATAACTCGTGCTTATGGTAAAAACTTATGGTTTAAGTCAGAAAGTATTTTTTGATAAAAAAAAAATAATTTTTATAAATTATTTTGACAAGCTGTTTTTGGCTCAAGAGAGTTTATCTTTATATAGATAGCCACGCGCGACTATTTTATTTAATTATTTTAACCTATCATCAAATTGTAAAAAGGTAAAATGATGGCATTTTATTTTTAACGTGTCAGCTTTCTAATGGTTTCAGCTAACAATAATCTAATTAGGCGCCATCATTTATCATCAAAGTTGACCTCAATTTTTTTAGCTGTCTTTCAATTGATTCGAGCTTTAAATTAGCTTCACGTCAGAAGTTTTTGCAATAATTAATATGATATATGAACAATTTTCCGCTTTCCACAACAATAAATGTCAGCTCTGACACTTACCACAGTTTTCAATTTCCTTCGGCTGAGATGGGCTGAAATAAATAAGGTAGAAAACGAAAAATTCAATTATTAAAATGTCAGTCAAATCAATTGAAATATATAAAATATTTAAATAAATAATGCTAACAATTGTTTTGCAGTAAACAAGAAATAACAACAATTGCTTAAAAACGAATGCAATAAATATGTAATCGTGGCCACGCGTCCGTGTGAAATATGGTAAATTACGTATACGCAACGTTGAGCCCAATTGACCTTGACCTTTGGGCTTGTTGGGGCTTATTACAGCCAGTGCAAAATTGGCCAACAATTTAATTGACGCTTTTGTTGCATTCAGTTACGGGTATTCATATTTATTGGGAAATCCGAATTCGAAATTACCAAACGTAATTTTCTATAGAGTTTACTCTACAGTAATTAAATAATTATATGCATTTTAGCTATTTGCTTGCTCTTATTAAAAGTAAAGGCTTAATTGCTTTAAACTTTAATTGAATAGCTTATTTAAGGCTCTTCTGAATTTATTAACCACTTAAGAGCCTTTCAGAAACTATTCCATCTTATTAGCTGGCAAATACTTTGCGCTCAAGTAAATAATATTAGCAAGGCATATTTTTTAAGCAGCTTAAAATTACAGCCAATTGAAATGGCTTTGCAGCTTTGCCAAATGCTGTGAATATTCCCGCTTGAATACTCATAGTAAGTATGAATTGTTTGAGTATTTATGCTGTATTTACGTTGATCAATTAACACTTAACTGATTAATTGCAGAGATTTGTTTGCATTCGCCACACACACACACAAACACTCGCTTGACTTGTGGTCATGTGCTGCAAAAACGTGCCATTAGAAACAACAACAACTCAGACGTACCCCCGCTTATATAGACAGGCATTAATCGAGAAAAGAGCGTCAAAATGTTTAGCGCTCGGTAATTAGTGAGCAGCGGCGCCCCTTTCGCACAGGCTGACCCCCCACCAACCCTCTTTCAACCATTTTAGAGGTTTGCCATGGCAACAATTTGCCATTCGTTTTGCTGTTCTTAATTTGCGTGCCAAGATTCTTAAACAATATTGATTTTCATAGCACGTAAAGGTGTTTAATCACCGACTGCAACAACCCAGCCCAACCCCTACAACCTACCCACACCCTACAAACCCTACACACACACATACATACACACAGCCTGCCTCATTAAATTCTCGCAAATCGTATTTGGTATCCAATTAATGGGAAGCTTTGTTTTTATTTGTCCACATTTCTTTTCATCAATATATCGTTTACATATATGAAATTCCACGCACTATTCACGTCTCGCAAATGCGCGTATGCAAAATCGATTCCTGATTCCGGGACTTGCAATTAACATCATAATTCATTTACTATTTTTTTCTATAGACTTTCCTATGCGGAAAAGTCTGCCTGTCAAACTATAAAGAAATCAGCATTCGCTTTTGTTCTGTTTGCATGCATATATGTATATATGTATATGTATGTGCTTATGAATGTATCTTATGTGCAAGGTTAATCAGTCTATATATTGTTTCTAACTATCTGCCCACAATTCAGTTTTTTGCTGAACTGGTTCGTAGCTTCCTTATTCTCTTGGTTTATGCATCTGTATCTTTTTGTTTGTCATTCGCAAGCACGAATAAGTTGAATAAGAAAGTTAAAAACTTGTCAGAGTTGTTTTATTTATAACGTATGCTTGTTAATCAACTTGCTTAAAATCTTGAAATAGTTATTATCAACTATTATTGATATTTTTATTTTTAGCACAATCCCGAGTTTATCACATTTTGTCCAATTACTGTCACTTTTTGTTTATTTCGCTTTTCGTAATTATTCTCATTAAGTTCTAATAAGCTGTGCATTATACCCTCAACCCTTTCCCCATCTCGCTCAACTACGTAACTGGCTGTCGTATCCAATCTAATTTTCATTATCTATTATATTATAATCTGGGTCTGTCGTAACCAAAAGGCGATTGGGGTAGCTTGTGGCATTATCTTTTCATGGGGCTTTCACTTTTGCAGTCGAATCGATAAACACAACGAATATCTGTCAAATCCAGGGCAATTGCTGTAAATTACGAGTAGCTAATGCTGTTTATATAGTGCGAGCAGCCGTATGTATGCCAACTAGTCAGTTTATGTTATGGACACGACACTTATTTATCGTGATTAGCCGTTGCTTTGGTTTCAAATGGTCAGCTGGACAGGCCAGTCATTTGACGTATATTACTATCTATTATTCTCGGCTGGAAACATATGTGTGTCTCTGCCATTTACGGTTTTGGTTGGTTGTGTCTAGATGTATTCGCGTGCCATCCAATTGCGTGAATTGTTTTAATTTAGACTCGTCTCGGTGACAATATGCGACATACGCCAAAGCAATGTGCAGTGCGTGATGGGAATGAGAGATTGAATTCAAATTCGGATTGTTCTCAAATAAATAATAAAAGATTTTATCCGAAAATAATATACTGATTGCCTGGAGAACTAGGCATTGCTTTCTTTATGCAGAATTTACTAATACCTTTGATAAGGCTTTAAATAATTTATGTAGGAGAATCTTCCATTGAGTAGTCTGAATAAAGTGCTTGCCCCTGTTCAGTTTTTAGCTACATCTAAAAAAATATATCTTAAAAATAAATATAAGCTGCATCTTTTCTTCGCTTCCTTGAATTCCATTTCAGGTTTACATATCAGACAACGCCTGCAATTAGCTAGTAATTTTCCAGTCGATATTTTTGAATATTTAATGCAATTTGTTTTCAAAAGAAACACAAGCAAGCGAAGGTACAAATTTCCAAATCCATTTATGTCTGAGTGCTCGCAATTGAATTGAGTGCCATGTTTCTGGAAATTCTGTTAAAATGTTTGGATTGCATCTATGCAGCTCGAGTGGCAGCATTTGATGCGCTCGTGGGAATCTTCTAATGGGGAGGATGCGCTCACTTGCCAGCCACTTAGAGATGCCCTGGAATCGGATGGTTACGAATCGGTTGGAAGCGGTTATTAAACACTTGTTAGGGCGAGGGGGCGCAACATTGTCCACAATAAATTTGTTCACACAATCAATACCAATTAACCTCCTTGGCGCGCACTTAATTATAACGCGCATCGAGCCAAAGAGCAAATAAAATAAATATTTTCTTAAGCTCGGCGAGACGGGAGATAAAAACAGCCTGGCTGGAGGCTCCAATCAGACCCAGACCTAGCCCCAGTCCCCCCAGTCCCTCTTCCCATCGCTCTCTCCATGGGCGTCGCGCCTACGTATGCTGCTCATTTTCCACTTTAACACGCAGCTGCGTTGGAAAAACAATGAGAAAAATTAAAGAAAACACAACAGTTCAGGCGCAAGGGGCCGCAACTGTGTGCGGACTGCATTGGTTGGGGAGGTCCCTACCATGGCCGCAGCCCCAGCTTCGCTCCCTGCTCCAGTCTCTGCCCCACCTCTCCGTTCCGGCATTTGTCGCTTTAATTAAGGCAGCGTCGCGGAGTTCGTCCGATTGCTATCGGGAGCTGACAACGAGCATGACTCACAATCCGCCAGCAATTGTTGTTGTTGTTGTTTTAGTTGTACATGCAAATGCGCCTCCTGCAGCGCTAGGAGCCCGAAATCCCAGCCCGTTGGTGGTTGCTCATTCAACGCCGTAGCCTGTGACGCACTCTGTGGGCGTTTTTATATCTTTTCTTTTGAGTTTCATTTTCGGAACGTGACTCATTTATCTAGGCGGACAGGCTAAACCCTGTCATTTTTATGCAATTTTCCACCAACAGCAAGGGTCAAAGGGCTTTAGCTAAGTTAATAGACTTGTAAAATCGAAGTGAACTCGTATGCTTACAAATTGACCTATCTGCTTTATGGTTTTGTTGAATACCTGATTTGGAATATATATTAAACTGAGGCACATATACTTCAGATTTTAATAAACGACAACTATTTATGTTTGTAGTTTACAGATAACGATAAAAGTCTGTCCTTAATTCCCTACCCCTTTTCTCAATCGAATTTTCAATTTACTCAGTTTCACGCTTAAGGCTTCAATTAAATAATTTATTGAGCTATAACGAAATCACCTTTGGTTGCAATCTAACAAAATATTCGAGAGCCTGGACGAACTTGTCCCAAGAGCTGTTCAAATATTTAATATTTGCATAGTTTCGTTTGATTTTAGCTTGGGGTATCACCTTGCAATAAATAATACAATTGACTCATAAAATTGATTGAGTTCATTTCTGATCTGTCTGACAGGCAGGCTGGCGGTCCTGGGTCTGTGTTGTGGTTTTCGTTTGGCCCTGGCTTTGGTTGTCGTGTCACTGGCCAATTCCCAATGCCAAGCTCTTGGCCAGACAATATTTGCTTTACTTTTATCAGACACTGTGTGTATTTGTGTGTGAAAAAGTAAATATGATGCTTATCAGAGGCTGCACAGACAACTGTTTGGCTAGCTAAATAATCTGACTGAATGACAACAACAACAACAAGAACATAAACAACAGCCACAACGACAACAACAAATACAAACATTAATCATTAATATGCGAAAATGCATTCAACCATTTATTTGGTCTAAAGAACGCGCTGTTCACGCTGTTTGCATTTAATTAAAGCCATTAAATCGCATTTTAATTGCATAAGCACTTTCCAAATTGATTAAAGATCAGCCTTAAGTTCAATTCAATATACTTATCGTGAATATTGTAAAAGTTCAACAAGGTTAAAAGCTTATATTAAGTTAGCAAGTCAACATACATTATGAATAATATTTAATATACAAAACTTAGTGGATTATTACTTTAAATGATTAAAAAGGTAAGTTAAATTATTTAGTAGTTGGAATAAAAAATGAAAGGAGTTATCTTTGTTACCAAAACTAGCTAGCAGCCAACATAAACACAATTTAGAATATTAAACATATTTGGTTGCCATGTAATATGGTTAAGAGATTATACCATTCGGCATTTGTTAAGTTCGATTGACTGGCAGTCAGCTGCCATTTAAAATGTACATATTATGTATGTGC